CATCAGTTGTTAAAAAGAAAAATAAGTTCTGAAATTGTAAAATTTGAAATGCTTCACTGCTTCTTTTCTTTCCAACTTGGCTTCACAACAATCCTCCTCCTCTCCAGACTTGCTGCCTTTCATCAGTGAGAACTGCACAGTAGGAAGAAAGAGAGCTCAAATCAGAAACATCGTGACTCTTTAGTGAGGAATTAAGCATGATTAAAGCCCCATAACACATTAATGACCATTAAATTTCTGTGGGGGGTCATAACTTTGTTGATTAATACCAATAAATCAACAAATATGACAGCAGATACTGGGATTTCCGGCTCTCCAGAACCACTTTTATATATCTACCCTGACACTGCTAGACACTTTCCACTTGCACTGTCAGTCATCAGTAACTGAAAACAATGCTACGAGTGAGTGACAAGCCAATTCATCCCTGTCTGGAGCCAGAAAGGCAAACATATCACAGCAATTTTCATTTTGCAGTATTCTCCTGTTCTCTACATATGTCTATTTGATTCCAGCTCCCACTAACGAGCTAGCTAATCTCTATGGGGAAATGCCATGGCATTGTTTGTGACAATTAGAAACTGTAATGAAATGCAGTAAAATGCGATGACAGGAGAACAGAAACAGCGCCAGGAACTGTCCTTGAGTGCTGGAGATCAGTTCTGTTAGTTTGGTTTCAGTCTTGGTTGTGTGTTTACAGCCAGAGAGAGCAGTTAGAGCTAATGTTGTGTACATTTGAGTAATACTGTGATTTTTAATTCAGTTTTGTTCCAGAAATCTGATATATTTATAACAAATATCTCTTGAGGGCTCAGTGCTGTTTAAAAATGCAACAAATTAGGCTTTAACTGACACAGAGAAATATGCTACAGCACAGTTTGCAGCCATTCCCCAGCTTAAGTGTTAATCAGGGTGTGTAAGGTCCAGGATTTAGGGCGTCTAACGGCAGAAATGGATTATAATATTCATAACTATGTATTTATTAGTTCATAATGACCTGAAAACAGTAATTCAGTCAGGAGCACTTTAGTCAAAGAAAACTTTATTTCCATTGCAGGTATATATTGATATGGCTCTGTTCTGGGACCTCTCTGCCTTTCCTCAGGCCTATGTAGAAAGATTCTTCTACGCGCCTACGTGGAAAGCCTGAGGCAGAGAGAGCACACCTCCCTGCCCTTCCATGCGCCTGCATTGAAAGCCTAAGGCAGGGAGAGCAGCAGCAAAGACCCCCTGGAAACAGTACTGAGCAGCATAAATGAAAAACAGAAATGACACTGATAAGTCAGACACAGCACGAAAAGGAGGAGCTGGGGTGGAGGCGGGATGCACAGAGGCATGCGGAGGAAGCGGCAACAGTAGGCAGGCCAGAGCAGTTTAAATAGGGCGCCCTGAATGAGATTCACCAATTGGTTGCATAGAAAGGAATCCTGTGATCTATCAGCTGACTCCCTTCCATCAATCAGCTGCTCTGTGTTGTCGTTATCTTACAGTGAGCTGTTTTTACATCTTGTTACATGCTAGACACACAGGGGAAGTTTAAGATCTACAAATTCACTGCCTGTTGGCATTTAAACCTACACACTAGACCTTTAAATGCCTTAACAGATAACTTTAAACTATATTTTGTACACATTTGATCCAGCCAGGTCCACAAAAACAGGATCTTCCTCAACCCTGCCCCTCTTCACCCGGGTCATTTATCAAGCAAATGCTTGATAAATGACCCGGGCGATTTTCTGAGTCTAGTTTATCAAATATGAGGAGCAAGCAATATTGAAAATATGTCACAAAGTAGGGGTATAAATCACAAATTTCATCACAATATTATATTGATTTTTTGGACAGCAATTTGATATTTCCTGATATCACAAAATCTGCCATGATGTGAACTTGATTTAATCAAATTCAGGGGCCTGTGAGTGAAATGAAACAATATCCAATAATATCCTCATTATCTTTTTCTTGGCTGCTTACCATTGTCTGCTCCTAGCACTGTTTGGATGTTTAGGAAGGAGGTGTGCTTGGACAGAAATTGTGCCTGAGACATGCCATGGAGATTTCAATATAAAAGCATATCTTCAAGATGATGATATGTATTGATGTTTTGACTTTGCATTGATGATATTAGATTTCGTTAATTCGTTAATCATTGAATTGATATATTGATCCTTATCAGTATAGCGTTACACCCCTGTCATCTTGGCCTCTAGACAAAACAATTACTTTTATAATAATCAACATATTATTGGATAATGACAGGGATTTTTAATTGCAGCCCTAACTAGCACCCATTAAGGAAGCCTCCAGTCTGTCTCCCTTGAGGTTTCAGGGGCAAGGATAGACCTATGACATAGCACGAGGATTGAATCTCTCAGCTGCTCTGGGAGTTCTTTGGTTCCCCCAGAAGGAATTAATAAAAGAAAAGGTCATTTGAGCTGCTCTGCTTGTCCTTTTCTGCTGCTGGGACTAGCAATCAAATCTGATTGGATGGATGATTGGCTAGGGTAGTGGTGCTTTTCCAAGTCAGCCTGCTGAAAGAGGTGATTTAGACAAATATCTCATCAAATCATCTGTATGCAGAGTAAATAACAGCTGATGTGATTTTGGCATAGTACTGTTCTGTTAGGAAAGAGGAACTCACTTTATCCATTGTTTTTTAGTCTTTATTCTCTTTTTATTTTTAGATAAATGGACTAACATTAGAAAGTTTAATTAACTGTCACCAAGTTAACTGTCTACTATATGCCGATGACACTGTATTCTTTATTTCTGAACCCTGATGTCTTAAATTCAGAACTCTGATCTTAACCATTTAGATGACTGGATGAAACATAATCATCTAACTATCAATGTCAAGAAAACAGAATATATCTATGTCTGACCCTATTCATTTTGCAAATCAGACACTAACCACAACAGAAACCTACAAATATCTTGGAGTATTCTTTGACTCACATCTCACTTATCGACACCACATTCAGAACCTTAAAATGACGCTCGGCCAGAAATTGTATGTCCACAACACGATCAGACCATAGCTCACCCCTATTGTTTCGGACACATATCTACATGCAGTCATTCTCTTAACAATATCCTGCTGTCTCAAAAATTTGGTCCCTCACCACAAAGGAAATCATTGAACCAGTAGCAGGACTATACACCAGAGCTTACGAGATCCATGGAAACTGTCCCCCATAGACTCACCATTGGCTGCACTCACACATTCTAACACCCTGCCGTTTCAACGTTAAGTGGATAATCTAGCCATTAAATTTAACTTTCAGATCCAAAACAACAACTCCCATCCTACACTTACTGCTCTACTTCCAAATCACAACACAAGACAGGAACAGTAACACATCACTAGATAAATTTTGCATGTATTTATTGCTGTACCACCTTACAAAAGTAATTATGGTCAGAGAACATTTTTTCCACACTCACACTCAAATCTGATACGAGATCCCATACTACATTAGAGATACCCTTTGTTACACATTTCAAACATGCATATAAAGACTATTTGATGGAAGGACAGACCTGCAACCACGGATTCAAATCTCATATCCATTTTATATATATTTTGTCCTCAACTAAATAAATGAAATTAGATCTTTGATATGTAGTACCGTAAAACTTAAGCCCTTTTTAAATAGGAATTATGCAAATTTGCAGGAAAGCCCAGTCAGTCTTTTTTCAGCATTGGCAGTATAAAAACAAAATTGGGGAGTGCAGCAAAATGCCGCCTGCCTACTTTTGTATATACAGAATGTGCATTTTTTGGGGCAATGGGGGGTGTGAGCACATAACAAAACTTGTAGCTCAGTGTGTGACATAAACAGTGACGTGGGAGGGAAGCCGCGGCTGGTCAGTCCTTCGGCGATTCTCTCATAAGTCGGCCTGTCCTCCACTGTCCCCGTCATCTGATGGTTAATGACCTCTTCATTTGCGATGACAAGGAGGGCGCGCAATTCCTTGTCTCCCCAGTTGCTCATCTTTACAGTGTCTGTCAGGTTTGCGTTTCCCTCTTGCTACTAGCTGCTCGCTAATTCCTGCTATCAGCTGTTTCCTGCTTATCCACCGCCAGTGGGTCGCACATGCGGTGTCATCAACAGCTCCTCCCACAAGTCATCAACAGCCCCTCCCATGGCAGAAGGGCGCCTCATACTTTTTAAATCAAAAAGGTTCCGCCAATATGTCTACCCTACGAGGTGGAAAATTGCGCACCTCAGATCAACTCGCCAGTCCGGCTCTGTGTGTACAAACGCTCGCAGCTTGCCGGCAAAACGGCCCAACATTCGCTGAAAATCTGGCAGTGTAAAAGGGGCTTTAAAGTAGGGGCCTGGGCTATTAATTGCTTGAATCACTGGGAGATGCCTTTGGGTTGCGATTTAAACAGCTATCTAATATTAGTTCAAGTGGGTAGCCAACAACCTGTTTTATACATCCGAAGAACTTCTTTAAAAATGAACAGCTTGGCAACCAGCCCAGGCGTCTAATTAAGACAGGCCTCTATTTGTCAAAATGTGTAGCTACACCGGGCTAGTAAAAACGACTGAGCGTTTAATTAAAGTTTATGGAAATCAGTACACCTGTGTTTGGCAAGAATCTGGTAATATTATATGTATCATGACACAGGGGTTACGATTCAATATAGTCAGAGTCAGAAGGCTGAAGATAGACTGCTATCTAGCAGTCGCGGGTTTAAAAACTACACAAACAACTGCCACAAATCTTGTGAATTATTACTTAAAAATCGATACAGAATAACCAAACATAATATTACAATACTCAGGTGTATCAATATTTTCTTACACCCCTAATATTGCACTTTCAAGCTGCAGGTGATTGGTCAATACTGAGCGTGGTTTTCATCAATACTCCATTATACTGAGTACACCTACTAATATAGATCTAGTGTGATAAGTAGAAATGGCATCGCTGCATGTCTGTCAATATCAGATAATGAGCTCTGACACTTGATGTTCCCATCTTTGCAGAGTGAGCTGCTGTGAGTCCTGAGAGGAGAAGTCTCCCGACAGGAGACAAGATGGCGTCCAACAACACCCTGCGCAGCTACTCCATCATCCCATGTTTCATCTTTGTAGAGGTGAGAGGCTGAGTGTGAATTTTAATCCAGGTTTGTGGGGGGGGGCGGGGGGGTGTATGATGAGTTTGTGTGTGTGTGTGTGAGTGACAATTTAAGCATTAGCAAATGACCTCCTCTGGTAAATTATACACAGCTAACCAGAGCGTAAAGTGTTGGAATGACTGGAAAGCTGAATGTGTGTGTGAGTGTGTGTAAGAATTGTTCTGCTCTTCCATATTTAATTACCATGTGAGCTGAAAGTCCTTAATCAGAGAGATGTCTCAGGACGCCTTGCATTAATCTCTCTCCTCACTCTCTCTCTCACACACACGCTTCTCTGATGAAATATCCTGCATAACAGTCTCCGATGAGTTCATGCCTCCTCTTTTATCTCATGCCTTCTTTTTGACTGACCTAGGTGTCATATTTTCTGACAGCCCTCCACCATACGACTCTTTCACACTCTAAATGAATATAATTGTCGGCTATGACGATGTGTCCGGGTATGTCCTCTAAGATAAGTGAAAATGTGACTATTTTATAATTTCCCCTTTGATTCATGATGTTCTCTCTACCTTGCTTCTTTTCGAGTGGGCTCATGGGATACTGCCTATTTTTGTTGCCTCAGTACTTGTTATGTAAGAATCACATTATTGTTCAGCACTTTTTCCCAAATCTGATAAATTAACTCAAGACTCCCCCAGTTATTGATCAGTCATATATCAATAATTTAAATGGGATTTTGTGTCTCTGAGCAAGAAAAGATGGCAAAAATTTGTCGTTGTGAGATTCTAATTTTCATTTTGACACCTCAAAATGTGACTTTGCACTTCAGCTCTGTAACACCTCCCCACATCAGGAAAAACGGGTGGGTGAGCCAGGGTGATCGTTTTTTTTGACAGATCGCAAGTTTAATATCAGGTACAAGCTATTCTAAGACGGACTAAGAAGCACTTCACCCTCCTGTGTTCACTCAGGAATGGTGATAGAAATCAGGTAAATATACTGGTACATGCTGCACGGCCTTTTCTTATTTCTATTTGTCAGATTTAGTGAGATATACATGCTATGATTGCAATATTAGAAATCCCACTCGTGTCAATTATAGTGTCACTTTTACTCCCACGACGAATTGCCCTTTACAGCAACTGTTAACATGAAAAACACAGTGGATGCAGACACATTTCAAGCACCGTCCTCCTATAAAATGTCTTCTTTTTTTTTTTTTTAAATGGTGACACAATTAATCATCGCAAAGTGCTTCATCTTCTATAGAAAGTCCTGTTGGACAGCCTGTCGTCATTGTACAGCAATTTGCTCATTTGCAGCTTTCAAGTGTCTTGGCTGGCGCTCAGCGTGAAATGCTCAGTTGGACATTGCTAATCATGGCTGTGCAATTTGTTTAATTAGGATGTGTAACTAGATGGGGGCTATTGAGTAACTGATTGGATCGTATATAGACAGTTAAAGGGACGATCACAATAGTTGTTTTTTTCTGTAGGCCAAAATGAAGCCTTTTTTAATTCACTTGCTATAAGAACAAAGATGCCTCTATAACCTCTAGAATCTGTGACCTACTGTGGATTTAGAGAGGTTCCTAGTTGAGCAGCATGTCCGCCTGTTGAGCCCTGTCAATCAGCATGAGCGACAAGTGAATTTTTAATGCCTAATTAGAAACCAGTTTGCCATCTCTTTTCCATGGATGTGACACCCTGCATTTCTTCTCTCTATGTGCCTGCTCGCCAAAAATTTGTTCTGCCCTCCATAAAGGGCCATCCACACCTAGAACAGCAACTATAACAATAACTATAAATGTTATTTTCAAAATTGTTTTAACTTAAATGGCTGAGTCAATGACAGTCCTTCCATCCATCTGTTTCCAACTGCTTATCTGGTTGGGGTCGTGGGGGCAGCAGGCCAAGCAAAGCACCCCAGACGTCCCTCTCCCCAGCAACGCTTTCCAGCTCCTCCTGGGGGACCCCAAGGCGTTCCCAGGCCAGATGAGAAATGAAATCTCTCTAGTGTGTTCTGTTTCTGCCTCTGGGCCTCCTAGCAGTTGGATGTACCCAGAACACCTCTATCAGGTGGCGGCCAGGTGGCATCCTGATCAGGTACCCGAACCACCTCAACTGATCCCTTTCAATGCGAAGGAGTAGCAGCTCTACTCCGAGCTCGCTCCAGATGTCTAAGCTCCTTACCCTATCTCTAAGGCTGAGCCCAGCCACCCCACCGAGGAAACTCATTTTGGCCGCTTGTATCCGTGATCTCATTCTTTCCGTCACTACCCAGAGCTCATGGCTATAGGTGAGGGTTGGGACATAGATGGACCGTAAATCGAAAGCTTTGCCTTGAAGCTCAGCTCCCTCTTCACCACGAAGGTACGGCACAGCGCCCTCATCACAGCAGCAGCCTCACTTAACCGCTGATCCACATCATGCTCCATTCTACCCTCACTCGTTAACAAGACCCAGAGATACAAGAACTCCCTTACTTGGGGTAGTTACTCTCTCTCAACCTGGAGGGTACAAACAACTGTTTTCCGGCTGTGGTAATGATATTGCTGGGATCGCATTTGGAGGGATTTGATGAACGATAAGGACACTGACAGCCAAACAAAATCCATCTGAATTCACAGGGCGACACAGCTTGAGTGTGCAGCGTGTGCTTTCTGCCACTGTATACGGAATATTACCATTCATCTGTGTGGATGCTCACATTGTTACTGTTAATATAGTTGTAGTTATTGTTCTTGGTGTGGACGGCCCTTTTAAGAATAGCAAAGTCAGTGCTATGGATATAATTTGGAGTGTGTTGTTCAAGATAAACTAATGATGTTAAATGGAACATGGTGCTGTAATAATATTGTTGCACCAAACACAGACACATGGACAGAACAAGGGACCTGTTGTTTGAATAGAGATTAAATATATTAAATAAAATGTCAGAAGATGTTATATTCTATTTGACACTAAGACAAAGTCGTGCATGCTGGCATTTCACTGGTGTGCTGTGACGTAACTCCTCAACTCCCTCCAACTCCCGTCGCCCCCTGGTCATTGGCGATCTCAAGTAACCATGAGTGGATTATATGAAAATAGAAACAAGTGCCTAATCCTATTAAGTGATTTTTATGTTGCTGACAGTATCCCCAGTTCACATCAAGGTGGTAAACTCTGTGTTCAGGATGTTTATACAGTAGTGCTGGAAATATGGAAAATTGCCCTTCCAGCTGACCTTACTGGTGATGTTTCTTACAACTAGAAACTGGACCTAAGTCTGAAAGCTTCTAGTTCTGGTAAGACTACAAACCATCAGGGGAAAAGAGGTTGGTTTAAATCCCAACCAATCAACCAACCAACCAACCAACCAACCAACCAACCAACCAAAACAAGGTATATTCCTCTCATTTGGTATTTGCATCATTCCTATAAGAATAGTAGCATGACATTGAGTTACTATGGGCTGTCAGACTGCGAAACGTTGTCACTGTTCATGATGAAACCATCAGCTAATCAGATTGATGATCAGATTTTGTGTTAAAAATCAGTTTGGAACACTTTACTGTCACCATAGCAACGTGTGCATCCCCATCGCCCATAGCCCGACCAGAGTGAAGCAAATTAGCAGGCAGCTGTTATTGGTTATTGATGAGTCTCCAGCAGGGTTTTGCTGTCTGATGAGAAAATTAAAATCATTACAAGTCCCAGTAATGGTTTTTATATAACTGAATCACATCAATTGGTATCACTTCAGAGGATGAAGGAAAAAGAAATGTTGAAGGTGTCATCAACAACGCCTTATAGGATTAGAAAATATCTCCCTCTTAACCTCTACAATAAACATTATGAGTACAGATGTGCCTTCTCACCCCCAGTTTGTCATATTTACTTGTATCAGTTGTTCTCAGCTCAGGATGTAAACTCCAAACTGACAGGTTCAGTTCAGATCTGTTGAAGGGACAATCCACCAACTTCACACATCAGGTTCAGTGTACTTGTCACAAAGAGTGTGTATACAGATGTATAAAACATCCTGTGTCTCTGTCGGAACCTTTCAAAGCTCTGAAAAATAACCTTGATGACACCGTTAAGTAATCTCAGCTCTGGCTGGTCGAGGACAGTTTCCTTGCGGAAAGCCTGTGTGACATTGTGCTTGAAGGACATGAGTTTTTCAAAGACAGGGACGGTCTTAAGAAACATGCATAATGGGAATTGTAGGTTCCATTGTGCTGGCTCGACCCATACTTGAGATTCAAAGTCAGGATACCTTGGCCTATGTTTCAATTTAGATTTCCTTTTTAGTTTGTCTCTTGAAAGTTTGCCAACTTTATGGGAGTGTTTAACTCAGTTGCAGAAGTTTCACTTTGATCTGGTTGAAATCAAGATTAATCTCATTATATAATGACGAAAACTCTGCCTGTGGGTGTGTCTGTGTGACTGTTCCACGTTTTTCTCCTCACTGGCTTGGTCAATCCATGTGAAATTTGGCACAGAGGTAGAGGGTCATGGGAGGATGCGAATGAAGCAATATTACATCAATTGGCCAAAGGGGGGCGCTATAGCAACCGATTGAAATGGCAGACTTTGAATGGGCATATCTCATGCCCCGTATGTCGTAGAGACATGAAACTTTGCACAGAGATGCCTCTCCTCATGAGGAACAAATTTGCCTCAAGAACCCATAACTTCTGGTTATATACGTAGATTTTCCGCCATTTTGAATTTTTTGACAAACACTTAAAATGGATCTTTTCCTAGGAAGTTTGACCGATCTGCATGAAACTTGGTGAACATAATCTAGGGACCAATATCTAAAGTTCCCTCTTGGCAGAAGTTGGAAAACTTACTAAAACTGAGCTTCTATAAGGCAATGAATATTGCCGAGGGCGTGGCTCATCACATAAAGGTGTATAACATCTCAAGGGTTTCACCGATCACCACGCAACTTTGTAGACATATGACCACACATAATCTGAGGGGACCCCTCCATTATTGACCTGATCAGACAAAATGGGGGCGCTA